AAGAATAAGAAGAAAGCTATATGACCTGCAATTGCATATTTTTTTTATTTATATGGGCAGAATCATTTTTGTTCACCCAACACTTTTGACCTGCACGGCAACAACCACAACAACAACAAGGGCCACAACCACCTCGGCGTTAAAGCCGTGCTGTACGCTGTCGATGTGCACAACACCAACAAGAACAACAACAATAACAACCACAAGAAGAAGAACAAGATGAAGAAGAAGAAGAAGAAGAAGAACAAGAAGAAGAAAGCTATATGACTTGCAATTGCAAATCCTTTTTGTTTGTTTAGGCAGAATCATTTTTGGTTCACCACACACTTCTACATTTTCTACTCCAAAATTGAATTCGACCTGCACAACACCAACAAGACACAACAACAGCAACAACCACAACAAGAACCAGAAGCAGAACCACAAGAACAAGAAGAAAAAGAAGAAGAAGAAGAAGAGGGGCGGAGGCCATACCTGCGTCACTTACCTGGGGGCCATAATCGTGATCCACGCTGTCGACCTGGACAACAACTACCACAACAACAACCAGGACTACAACCACCTGGGCGCCATAGTCGTGCTCCACGAAGAAGAAGAAGAAGAAGAAGAAGAAGAAGAAGAAGAAGGCTATATGACCTGCAATTGCATATCCTTTTTATTTGTTTAGGCAGAATGATTTTTGGTTCACCAAACACTTTTGACCTGCACAGCAACAACCACAACAACAACCAGGACCACAACCACCTGGGCGCCATAGTCGTGCTCCACGCTGTCGACATGCACAACACCAATAAGAACAACAACAGCAACAACCACAAGAAGAAGAAGAAGAAGAAGAAGAAGAAGAAGAAGAAGAAGAAGAAGAAGAAGCAGAAAGCTATATGACCTGCAATTGCATATCCTTTTTATTTGTCTAGGCAGAATTATTTTTGGTTAACCAAACACTTTTGACCTGCACAGCAACAACCACAAAACCAAACAGGACCACAACCACCTGGGCGCCATAGCCGTGCTCCACGCAGTCGACGTGCACAACACCAACAAGAACAAGACCAGCAACAGCCACAAAAAGAAGAAGAAGAATAAGAAGACGAAGAAGAAGAAGAAAACAATACGACCTGCAATTGCATATCCTCTTTATTTATTTCGGCAGAATCATTTTTGGTTCACCAAACACTTCTATATTTTCTACTTTAAAATTGAACTCGACCTGCACAACACCAACAAGAACAACAACAGCAACAACCACAACAACAACCAGAAGCAGAACCACAAGAAGAACAACAGCAGCAACAACCACAATAATAACCGGAAGCAAAACCACAAGAAGAAGAAGAAGAAGAAGAAGAAGAAGAAGAAGAAGAAGAAGAAGAAGAAGAAGAAGAAAAAGAAGAAAAAGAGGGGCGGAGGTTATACCTGCGTCACTTACCTGGGCGCCATAGCAGTGATCCACGTTGTCAACCTGCAAAACACCACCAACAACAACAACCAGGAACACAACCACCTGGGCCCCAGAGCCGTGCTCCACGCTATCGACGTGCACAACACCAACAAGAACAACAACAGCAACAACCACAAGAAGAACGAATTGCAGATCCTTTTTGTTTTTTTAGGCAGAATCATTTTTGCTTCACCAAACACTTTTGACCTGCACAGCAACAACCATAACAACAACCAAGACCACAACCAATTGGGCGCCATAGCCGTGCTCCACGCTGTCGACGTGCACAACACCAACAAGAACAACAAGAGGAACAACCACAAGAAAAAGAAGAAGAAAAGCAAGAAGTAGAAGAAGAAAGTTATATGACCTGCAATTGCATATCCTTTTTATTTGTGTAGGCAGAATTATTTTTGGTTCACCAAACTTTTCTACATTTTCTACTTCAAAATTGAATTCGACCTGCACAACACCAACAAGAACAACAACAGCAACAACCACAACAACAACCAGAAC